AAAGAAATTTTTCGATCATTACTTTACAAATGAAGCCTGTTCAGTTTTATCTGTATGTGTAGCTAACGTGATTTGTACGTTGCTAAATCTTTGAGTCACCTCTCAATACCGTGACTGAAATATGAAGTAGCGTAATAACGTTCTGCTGTAAATATTACCATAACGTAGTTAACCCTAAAATATAGATGATGTCCGAATCCCATTGACTTTTTAAACAGAATTATAAACTATTTATGTACAATCGACTACAACAAATGATCGATATTAATTCCACCAATTAATGTAATATGTGGACCCCTACCGGTAATAAACCATGCAGAATATAGAACAATTGACAAAAGGAATTGTGTACATACTCCTACACAAATCGGCCAAAGTTTACTTTCTGAACGTCAACAAGACCAAGAAAAACACGAAAACGTCCATTAGTAATAACATCACTAATTACTTCATTGGGTAATTGGTTTTTATAACACCCGTAGCCTCCTGAAAACATCAGCGTGACGACTTTATAACCCAGGGATACCACTCTAAAAGAAAAAAAAAGTCCGTCATACTCTGTTTTGTGTGGAGAGTTACTTCGTCAACCGCAAGCATTTTCTTATTTTCACTAAATCTCACACTGCTATCTGAAAGACGTGGTATTGTATTTCTATCCTGTCCAGCATGTTAGGACATACAGTACCAGTCTTTCAAGAATTTATATTAGGCGAGATTAGTATCTTGTAAATATAAGAGCTGACGGAACCAGTGTTGCATGCTCTAAATTGAGTGTTACCGTTTTCTTTATAAGTGATACAGTTTAAAATGGCCAATTAAGTTTAGTGTTTATATAAACAAATATTGCTGAATTAATCTAAAAATAAATAATAATTTTACTGTTTTTTTTAATACAGAAAAAGCTCAATATATACATTTTTTTTACTCCCGAATTCTTGTGTCTTTAATTCAATAAATAGTAGTGTTTCCGAATGGTACAATTAGGCCTAAAAGAAAGTGGTAGAAATATCTGCTGAGAACGGTTATAATTTCTGAAGCGTGTTTTTGTTGTTTTTTTTCCATTAAAATCCTTTGCGAGCCCAATAGTGTATTTTACTGTGATAAGCCGCCTACGTGTACAGAAAGAGAACATATGCACGTTTCAAGAAACATCTTCGTCCAAATAATTGTTGTTGTTAAATATAGTTCTTCCAATAGGTATGCATTTTCGTTGTGTGAAGATGGAAAATTTTATTTTCTAAAAATAAATGTTTGCCTGATAGGTTTTAAAACTGTGCGAAGTTTACATAATAGTATCCAAATAACACAATTGAATTATCTAAAACACATCAGACAACCAAAATAGATTAAAATATAAAGAACAACAAATGTAGTCTTTGAAGCATGAATGAGATCAATCCGCTGTAGCCCTAGAAAATTCAAAATTACAATTAAAGAAATTCAAGGCTTACAATTATAAAATGTTTCTGAGATAATGTTTTGTTGCGTCATCGAGATCATGTGATTCTCACGCTCTCTACTTTCTAGAATTATCCTGTACTTTGGCGAATGTTCTAGTTCTTGCTGGATATAGGGTAGGCTGGTAAAAGAGGGGAAGGTAATGTGTGGGTAGATAGTGAGTAACTGATTTGCAGTCAGAAGTATTGTTGACGTTCGTTGATTAGCGTTTGTTTTAGCGCGATTGTTGAAGTTAAGTGTATCGGTAAAGTTATATCCGGAAAGAATAAACCAGTTTTATTAAGAAAGAACTTGTGTCGCTTAAGTTTCGTCGGAACGAAGTTACGGAAAATCAATTAACAAACAGAGACGTAACAGTTTTGAAACCTTTTATAATTTAGGCCTAGCTTTGTGTGTTTACCCGATTTCATTACATTTCATCACTATATAAATAATGTGAAAATTGTTTGGTAGAGTTTAGAATAAATTTTTTAGTTGAAACTCAAGCAAGTTGAGCCGATGTTTTCATTTATATTTTTTTTTAAAAATTCGCGGACTTTATCTTGTAAACAACTTTTGGGACTACATTTTGTTTTTTCCTCTCTAAACTCCTCCATCGTGTAAATAAATAAATATAATATAAATAACGCAAAGTTTACAGAAAAATATTTAATAGTCCGTAACAAAGAAAAAAAATGTATTTCGGGATTAAAATAACATCTCTCTCTCTACCCGTGTGTATATTATTTCTACATTGTCAGTACTTTAGCCAAATTAAGAATTAAGTTTCTGGTTTGTTTTGTTTTTTTGTTGTTGTTGTATTTTGCTTTGAACTCAAACGCAACACAAAAGCGTACTTACTCAGTCCCAGATCAATACATGGAAAAAATAGGTAGAGACACTACGAGCCTGTTCCTTTATACCCTTTTACACAATGTGCTGTTTCGCTTACAACATAAAAAAACTCTTGGAATTGAGTGGCGTCTGCTATTAAGTCCTTCTTTTTCTTTGTGATCATTTGTCTGTCGAATTTACTGTTTTTACATTGCATTATCTTTAGTGTTTTTCCTATACATATAACAGTATTATATGTGTTCAACTTAAGGCTTAAGGAACCTATTATCATTATCTTTAATAAAACACAACCCTTATTTCTTCAAATTTTATGTCCACAATTACGTTAGTTTAACTGCTGGTAATTCTGGAACTGTACAAATAACCAATAATTTAAATATTAAATATCGTAATGCTATAATACAAGAATACGTAGGAGTAGAACGTGGGTGTTTGGTAAACTAATACTTTAGGCCTAAGAATGGCGATAAAATAACGCGTTTGACTTTTTTTTGTCACATTCCTATTACACAATATTAATATGTAACAGATTTAAAATGTGAAATGTAAGCGGAAAATACGCTTATGTGACATCTAAAAAAAAATGTCTTCCATTTGGCTACGGTTACTACATAGTACAAAGTAAAGGTGAGGCGATACAGTGATACGATACGAGTATCATATCATGAAGTCGTGATAAGCTACCATTTAGTTGATCAAATCTGAGAATTAGAAGAAAAAAAAAGCACTGTAAAGTGTGCAGTACTTAAATCATAATAAATTACAAACAAGACTGTTAAACTTTTAACAGACCATTGTTATGATGAGATACGCACCCCTACTACAAATATACCATACTAATCCGACCATTCTCAGTAAACCAAGTTTAGTTTTCGATCTTTCTGGCAAAATTCCGATTTTTTTTTTTTATAATAGTTCAGGACAGCATTTAAAACAAATCCTAATATACAAATAAACTTACTGACGTATTTTGCACCTACAACAACAACAGATTATAGCAAAAAGATTTTAAGGTATTTGTGTGTAAATATTCGAAAATTTAATTAAAAGGGGTAATTGTTTTACTACTAATACTGCAGCAACAGAAACAAACCACTGGCGACCCCCCAATTTTCAGAAACTTTGAAATTCAGTACCAAGCGATCTGATAAAACTCCGTCATATTTTTATCGCTGCACCATTTTTTTCCCATTGTTCAAGGTTAGCCACAGCACACGTTCACACAAGTACAAAAAGATTAATAAACATTCAAGTCCTAGCTAATTTTTTTAAACCCTTCAGTCAACTGCTCTTCGTCAAGTTTCAAAATATAAATGTAATGTCTGACAAAGGCAGGGTACTTGAAAATAGAAAATAAAATCACTTAAGTTTTTTTTGTATGTTTGTGTATAACAGACAGACCTCGACGATACAAGAGGCGATTCGATAAATACGGAGAAATATTATGGTAGATTAAGTGATGTTATTTAACAAAAAAATCTTTAGTTTGGACTTAATAAAACTTTGAACATTGTGTAGCGAACTTCTCATAGACGTAAGAAACCAGTTTAAAAACAAAATATTTTTCAACTGTATACCCTCACTAATACATTCATTCAATAGCCTTTGAAATTGAAATAAATATATCACTTGTGTGTCTCGCGAAGCCCGAAATGTAATTTGGATTTTGGTTTTTATGCAACCTTCATCAATCCAATCTTGAAATTGGACTTATAATAGACTTACACAACTTTCCAAATTGCTAACCAATTTAGAAACTATTCAATGTATGAGCAATTGATAGAATGAATATAAGTATTATAGGAACAATAGATTAATTTGTGTCTAATTATGAAATATGTAGCTGACGAAAAAGTCCCAACAATCTCATCTATTTGGAAACAAGAAACTTAAAAAAACAAGTACAAAGTACATTTCAAAATTTAAAAAAATAAACGATATATCAATCTACTGTTTAGTAATCGAACTATCGGCTATGAAATCTATTGCTCTGAACTCTAAAATTATGTATTGATTTTATTCTTCCAATACCACAGTATTTGTGATGATTGACAGGCTAAAATAATATATACATTTAATATTTAATCTTAGTTTCTGCCAACTGATTCGTAGAAATAAAAAAAAAAAACATTCCCACGCCTACCAAAAATAGCTTAATAAAACATCACTGAACAGACTAGCTAAACATAACGCATTTAAATTGAAAATTCAACCTAAATTTGAAACAGTTTCTGACTAGGCCATGAATCATAAACCCTTGACAGGACTGAATATATATTTACTGCTCTAATTTCCAAAATAACATTTTATTTGTTAATTCTCTCAGTAACAATTAAAATAGGTTAGAAATGTGTAAACTAATACTTCTGACCAACGCCCATAAAATGTCCTATAAATTATATTGACAATATTTTTCAACTTCGAGATTTTCAGGCTGTCCTTAATCATTTCCTGCTGGACAAAGCTTGCTGCGAATGCTAGTACTACTACTAGTAGACTCTGCTATGACTAGGTTTAACTTACCTGTCTACAACTACTGAACTAGCTCACCTGCGCCATCTTGATTTCAAAATTACCACAATATCACTTAATACTACTGTTTTACACACTTTGATTAATTAATTAGCTCCGTGGATTTTTGATATTTTACGGAAGAAATGTTTGAACTGACGATAAGTTAGTGACGTCTTGTGTAACTACGATCTTACCTCATTCGGTTCGCTGACGGCAAACAAATCAAGACGATTGGCATTCCATTCAGTAATTATATTCCGTAAGTTTTTACGTTCTTCTGTTTTCCAATCCATTTGTTTATCCATTATGGCTTGCGTAAGTTACAGATCTTAGACCACACCTAATCCTTAATCATACTAAATTACAGTATAGTTTAACTTTTAAATTTTATGTAATAACGGAAGCAAGCTAAAACGTCATCTACCTACTTTAAACCACTACTCAAGTAACTCGGTGAACAAAACAGCGTTAGTAAATGTGTTCTAGGCCTGCCCAGTCCGAGCATGCGTCATCACATACTGATTTCTTATTGGTTATTGAAAAGAGTAGCCCGGAAACAAATCTTGAGCGAATATGTAGCGGTAAACATTCTAAACTTTTTTTTTATTTCAAATACGCTTCGTGAAACATTATAAAATATATAGATGTATCGTCGCACCAATACAATATGAAGTGAAAAGAAATACACCTGTTGCAAAATCTAATCCAAAATAAAAAATAATTCACAATTTGGTATTCAATCAGAAATTTGTAAAATTCACCTTTGTTTTGAGCGATCAACCTCTCGAAAAAGTTAAATGACAATGTAAGAAAAATGTTTAAATAAAGAGTTGTTGAAAAGTATGAGCATTACGTTTTTTTTTAACAAAAATATTTACTTATTGCATGCCTAACTGTTAACACGGAATTCATACATCCAATATTTGATAACATTACATACCAGGGCTTTCAAAGTGTTTACAAACTCTTGTGTTTATCTAAAATATAATAATTTAACATGTTAAACACAATCAACTAAACAAGCCAGTTTTTTGTTGTTGTTTTTTTCAGTTTATTGGAATTTTAACTTTACGGTTTAAACGTGGAAAGCTGGCGAATCATTACAAAGCAATAGGCTTAACATGCATGACAAAAATCACGTAAAATGCACGTTTTTTTCCTCTTACTTTTCAAAAAACTCTGTTTTGGATTCGAAATGTATAATTTAAATGTTTATTATTAATTGAGAGAACAAAACATCTGAACTTTTAACGTTCTGTGGTATAAATAATGAATTTCTAATTACAACATTACATACAGTTAACGTTACATTATAGTATACTTTTTGAAATTAACCAATGTGTAGTTAATTATGTATGTAATTATTCTGTACTTGTAGCTGATAGTTTTTTTCATACAAATATCTCCTCATCTTGTTCAAAGTCCTTTTATAAAGTCTAAATTATACACTAATTAATTACATCTTTCTGGTCCGACTTTTTATTTTCATTAACGTCATTAGTTTATAATTTTTTCCTATGTGCGAATTTAAGATACAGGAGGATTTGTGTAGTGTTGTAAATCTAAATTAAAATCGCTCAAGTATAATATTAAATGTATGAACAGTTGATATATAATTAGTAAAAAAAGTATGTTTCATCCGGTAGAAATTAATACAATTTCATATAAAACTATTCAGTCCTAAAATACTGGTATTTCTCACCTTGCTAGTATCTTATTGTTTGAAATAATATATAAACTTCTCACATTTCTTATGTTAATTTTGAAGAGTTTTCGATCAATATTTATAGGTTTCCATGGTGATGAGAGGCAGTAGTTTGAATATATGCTTACTCTTTGACTTATCTTAACATTAACAAAGTATTCTCCAATGATACACATTGAAGTAGTGAAAATCATCATTGTTAGTTAAGTATTCGTACTTGGGATTTATGTCATAGTTACTTAGGCCTATCTGTTGCCTTCCTAATTTTGAGTCACTGACAAAAGAAGGAACGCAGCTAGGCAGCAGCACCCTACCACCCATCAACCACACTAATGGACTGACTGTCACTCTTATAACGCGCCCACAGCTTTAAAGTGCGGAGAGTATTTTGTGGCACTGCACGGATTCAAACTGGACTCGGCAACTCAGAAATCCAGTGTTCTGCCAAAAGGCTGCCCCATACTATTTAAAGTAAACCTAAGTTTGTTTGAGTGGTGTCATCCGAGAAAATCTCGTATCAACTGTTTCAAGTTCAAGGTTACTTAAAGCCAGGAAATAGAAAAGAAGGCATATTACGTTAATAGCTTGTATCTAAAATGTAATGTGATGAATCGTCTCTTTTCAGACGTGATAATACGTTAAAATATATGTCCCCTAGCAACAGAGAATAACAGCAAGAACTACTGAACCGCCATCTATTAACTCCTAACGAAACAAAATAGAATTGAAATAATTACAGTAGAAAACCAAGGTTATTATTTGCAGTAGCTCTGTGTAAATCGATCAAAAAACAGGAGAAACTAAATTGTATACAAACCCAATCTATGACTAAATAAATATTTAAAGGGTCTTTTTCCGGGATACAGCGATCATTTACAGTTTCTTAATTCGATGTTATTGTTATATTTAGGTTTATTATTACAAGTGGCAGAAAAAAATATTAACGTTCTCACTATCACTAGTTCCATTTATTATTTTAGAAAAAAACAGGGACCGTTATTTCATAGTCGCATTCCATTACCAGAACAATTGGGTAACACAATTTTTCATAATTACCAAATACAAATTAATTTTAATTAAGAATTTCATTATTCACTTTATTGGCAATATTTAAGCTAATAAATATATGGACCATTACTTTTCATATTATTTTATGTTTCATAATACTTTAAACCTGTCCTTCAGCAGTAAGTCCGAAGGCTTATAATGCTAAAAATCGGGTTTAAATACCTGTGGTGGACACAGCACAGATAGCCCATTGTGTAGCTTTGTGCTTAACAACAAAACTTTAAATCTATATTGGAAACAGTGAGAAATAACCTTATAGAAGTTTTAAAGATAATCAAGGCTTCTGATGTATTTGTTCTACATTCTAAAGACAACAGGACAAGTCCCAAGTTTACTGTTTGGAAAAAAGGCTAGACTCAAATTAAGACACGTTTATTTTTGTAGCAAGTTGACTTACCAATGGATTGAGTTAAATTTGACAGTAACAGATGTAAGCACTTTACAATATCTTAAGAGGGGTTATCAATTCCTGGAAGGGTAGGTTTAAATCTTTACCTCTCCCAGTGGGTGGGTGGGTGAGGATAACCACAGATTATTTTTTGTAATACTGTAATTGCTATCAGATACAGTGGTTTACAATTGTGTGTGTTATGTACTTTGGTATGTTTGGAGAGCGGTTGCCATTCTCCATTCTGATACTACTTTAGCGCCTATATTGAAATGGTTCTCGATGAAGGTAGCTCTGATAAGCCTGTATACAAGTGACTGCAGTAACCGCTGATAGGGTTTTTATTATAATTTGAGAAAAAGAAACTTAAACATGACACAAAGAATACAATTTCGTTCAACTTTAATACTTACAGTTTAACAATTCCAAGATGACAAATATTCAAAAGGTTCCAATATACAATCTTTAACATCTTGATATTTACTAGCCACTAAGGGTAATTTATATATAACTTTTTATTCCTATCTATAAACATTTTTAAATCTGGTTCATTACTGCTATCGCCATCTATTGACATGTTTCATAGTTACAATTATACTATTAACGATATATTTTTTTTATGTTTTGAATCACATAACTGATATATCACACTAGTTTTTATGATGGTAAGTAATCACAATAGTTACAGTTTACTAAGTTTAAAATTTCCACTTCTGAAATAGTCATGTACTGTCAAGTGTTTCCTGAAAAAGCTGACACTCTTTGTAATAGTTCTTTAAGGTGGTGGTTACGAACTTCATAACATTTAAGTACTCGTGGTCGCTTGGTACCGGGAGAAAACTGAACCTCCATCAAACAGCTTAAATTCAGTAACTGGTGCTGACATCTCTGAATAGACTGTAAAATAACGAAATCAAAAAACACCTAAAATGTGCATTTATAAAGAAATATTCTTCATAAAAATAATGATTACACATTAAAGATATCATGTATAAAACAATTAAAATATTTTGAAACAACATGTAAAATAAGTCACTAAAAAATGGTGTGGGACCTACACTTTTAACCTGGTTGTGAAATGTAATCTAAAAAATTAGGTTTAAATTGGTGAAGCAAAATAATTAATAGTTTTAAGAAAAGATTCCTACCTGCATTATTGTGTTTCTAACCTCTGTACATAATTTTGCACGAGACTTCATGGTCTTCAAAAAACAGACAAGAACACATTTTTGGTAATTTGTACTGAACAGCAAGGTAAAACATTAGCAAAAAAAAAGAGAGGGAGATTTCTGGTAACATGTAACAAACAATAAGGTAAAATAAGAACAAACAAAAGGGTAAATTTCTGGTATCCTCTATTTAACAGCAACATATATAATTTATAGATAACACATGTTGGCCCACCTAGGAACCCCATCCACCAAACTGCAAAATAAAACAAATTTCTAATAACTCGTACTAAACAGTAAAATAGAACAAATTTCTAATAACCCGTACTAAACAGTAAAATAGAACAAATTTGTAATAACCCATACTAAAGAGTAAAATAGAACAAATTTCTAATAACTCGTACTAAACAGTAAAATAGAACAAATTTCTAATAACCCATACTAATCAGTAAAATAAAACAAATTTCTAATAACCAGTACTAAACAGTAAAATAGAACAAATTTCTAATAACCCGTACTAATCAGTAAAATAAAACAAATTTCGAATAACTTGTACTAAACAGTAGAATAGAACAAATTTTAATAACCCGTACTAAACAGTAAAATAGAACAAATTTCTAATAACCCGTACTAAACAGTAAAATAGAACAAATTTCTAATAACCCGTACTAAACAGTAAAATAGAACAAATTTCTAATAACCCGTAATAAACAGTCATGTGAAATGATGTTAAAAACATATATAGAAACAGAACTTTGACATTACTTCATAAAGAGAATTACACTAAATAAATAATAAAACAATAACTTTGGAAAATTTATTACCAAGTGGTCTTAAAATTAAAAGCTAACAGTATGTCATTAATATGGACATCATTTAAATCCACGTTACAAAGAAATGGCTAAAATACAAAAAACAAAATAGAAATAAATGTCATTATTTATTGTTAGTACCTTAAAATTACAATAGATGGCACCACAACTTTTTATTGTACAATACTATCTTAAAATCTTTAAACCCTTTCTAATAGTCATACTATATGTATTTTCTGTTCTAAACAGACAAATTTAAAAGAATCTTAGTAACTTCTTTTATTCAATATTTATATACTTACTAGGACTTCATGTGCATTCAATCCAAGTAGTCCTTCAAGAACCTGATATATGTAATAAAAATATCATACCACAAGATAAATAAGCCTCTCTTTACGCTTCTTTATCATGATTGGTTAGTTGTTAATATGATCACCTAATATTCTGTTTCTTATTAATCAAGCACTCTGAGCATTCACTGCAATACATTGGAGAAACAAAAAGATGAAGTTAAAGTTAAAAAGAAACTACAACAGTTATTCTACGGACGTCCAAAAATCAAATAGCTTTTAACGAGTCTTACGCAAAGGACGATCTGTTCTTTCTATTGGTTATAAAAATGTCCATCAATCATGTAAGGTTGTTCAGCAAAACAAGCTTGGAAGTCAAGGGGGGGGGGGCTTTTCTGTAGTAGGTGTAAACTTTAGATTGTTGCTTGTAATTGTTTCGTTTGTGTTTCCATTGGTTGAAACCTGTAGCAGCCTATTTCTGATGTTATTAAATTCTTAAGTAGAGCTCTGACACAACACATGACAGAAAAATGAAAATTGAGAATGTTTTTAATTTTTCTTCTTGAAATTCAGAAGTTAATAAAAAAAACTTTAATTACAAATTACATTTTCATGTCAAGTTTTACGATAAAGTTATTTAGACAAAAATTGCATAAAGTCAAGAAATGCACAATTTGATGCACTTGAAGGAAAGGATGTAGTGAAAAATATTCATCTTTATGTTTTATTTTTAGTGTTTTTCAAAGACTTTAGCCATAATGTTTCAGTTAATTAATTTGTTAAAAACCTTTAAATGTTTAAAAACGTTTTTTCACTAGTAAAATAATTTGTAAATTTTAGCTACTCTTTGGAAGTGAACAGCTGTCTAGTTTGTCATAACTGTGGATAAATTATAACAAATTCAGTTGGTCATTTCAGACAAGTGATAATCTGACCTAATTAAATTATCAAAATGTGTGGAATCTTTCAATAAATGCACATGTTAAGTAATTAAAATAGATTCTATACATGTTACCCGATTTACGAAATTATTCAAGTTTTTGGCCATCCCTAACGTTAATGTCTTCCCATTAAGAGTACAATATACTGAAGTTTTACCACACACACAATCCGATCATTTATACCAATGTTTACCAAAAACCTAACATGTACTAATACTTTTTTATAAGATAGAATATAGAGTGAATATATGAAAAGCAAAACAGTGTAATAATTTTAATGCAACACAATTGTCAGTCGCATCGTCCAACTGTGAGCGACTGAAAACTTTATAATCATATAAAAAGCATCAATTAGATAATAGATTATTTTATATGTAATTTATGTGTACTCCTACATCAACTATAAATGAATGTTGAAACTTACAAGTTCTAAATCTGTACCTTTCTTCCCAACACATATTCATAGATCATCAGTTATAGCATGTTTGGAGATTATATCTGAATGAGAGGACTGTTTGTTAAATAGAGATTGGAATGTCTTTCTTTCTTAAGCTGGTTTTAAGTTAATATTCTAAAGAAAGAGAAGTATTCAAAGAAAAGAAAACAAACGTGATTATCCAGGTCTACTTCAACTGATCCGGAGCCGTCATTTATCTTGGCTCGTAGCTGCCACCCAAACTCCTTGTTGCTCTCCAGCTTGGAAGTTAGTGTTGTAATAAATCCCTAAAGAATAGCAAGGCTATAAATTTCTTGAAATGGAAAACTACTAAAAAAAAACTATTTTTTTTAATCAGAAGAAAGTTTCATTATTTAATAAAATGGTTTTTAACCCGAAGATTAATTATAAAAATAAAAGCTGACCAAGTCTTACCTTGATAATGACAACTCGCTCCCTGTCACTTGGTGGCTCTGACAACAATGTGTCTAAATATGTGAATGGGGGAGAATCTGAAAAGTTAGATCACGTTTTCGAATGAAACTAAGACTTTTTACAGCTTACTAGAGCATAAAATGCACACACGCTAAGTTACAAACATACTAACATGGACACCCAAAGACATTTTTCCACCCCCCATTTCCCAGCATGGACGCCCATGCATACTAAGATACTAACAATTTATGCAGGATTAACAAAAAAATTAATCACAAAACAAGAAACTTTATAATAATAGAATTATCTTCTCAATCACCCCTGAAGGTGAAAGATCAACCATACATAGTTCTTGGATTATCAAGTTTCTTGTTTTGTAACCAACTTTTAACCTTCAAAGATCTTGATCTCCAAACTATAGTACAGTAAGTAAAACTTATAAAGTATCATACATCAGTTGTGAGTGAGAAAAAAATAAAACTCTTATTAAGTACTCTGTATACATCAATACAGTAACCCTACCCACATTATATAACTAAAGCAGTCTGACAACGAACAACACAACCAGAGAAATGATGAAAAACAGCATGTTTAGTGAGGAAATATTCTGAGATCCACACACTTCGGCACATTTCCACATTGAATTAACATTTCAGAATACCAAGCTACTCTCATTACTATGTTATTTTCTATATCAGAAACTTTAGCATTTGGTAGAAAAGTAATAAAAAGGTATTCAAGATTAAGTGGATATTTAACATTACCTATGACAGTGCAACGTTTCTTTAAAAAACGGCTCTTATCAGCAAGTGCTAGAGTTAACCCTTTAGCTCAGTTGATAGAGCATTTCTCTGACATACAGGATCTTCCAGGTTATATATCGAATCAAGAAAAAGGTAAATAAACTGACACCAGAAAAACCAGTACTTATTGGTTTATTATGAACTTCGCGCAAAGCTTCACGAGGGCTATCTGCGCTAGCCGTCCCTAATTTAGCAGTGTAATACTAGAGGGAAGGCAGCTAGTCAACACCACCCACTGCCAACTCTTGGGCTATTCTTTTACCAACAAATAGTGGGATTGACCGTCACAATATAACGCCCCCACAGCTGAAAGGGCAAGCATGTTTGGTGTGATGAGTATTCGAACTCACTACCCACAGATTGTGAGTGGAGCGCCCTAACCACCTGGCCATGCCGGGCCAAAACCAGTACTCAACATGGATACCAGTTTTTTTCTGTGGTAGTCCCTTTTCTTTCTCAGCTGGTAGAACACCTGTTTTACGTCCTGTAGGTGTCGGGCTCGATACTGATACGAGGCTTATCATAAGAGTGTGGTTACAGATGAATGTTCGACACATTAAAACAAAGAATGACAAACTACTGCCTTTCATACAGGAACTCATTCACTGGGTCATTAGCATGTAGAAATCTAAGGTTACAGTAAGTATTATCTTTAGTTTCATAACATAACCAGAGTGAGAAAAGTGAATTAAAAACTGAGGAAACAAGAAAGTACTTACTTCTAAAAATACATGCACTCTTCATTCTTTCCACAGGCTGATGGTTTTCAATGCAAGGATCTTTGGAAATAGGTTCAGATTCACGATAACCTCCCTGGAAAAAAAATACAGAAAATAAAATACTACAAAAAGAAGAGTGGGAAGTGTGAAAAAAAAATAGAATAATTAATATAACCTGTTTTCAAAACAAAAACACATTTTATAAATGATGAATCCTGACAAAATATAGCTAGTATTTTATAAAGCACAAAGCTATACAATGGGCTATCTGTGCTGTGCCCACCACAGTTATTGAGACCCACTTTTTAGTATTATATAAGCCATCTGACTTACCACTGAGCCACTAGGGGCAAGTTAAATGAAATAGTAGTATATATATCACATGTTTACAGGTACAACACTATAAAAAGATTATTAAAACAACAGATTCCAGTCATTAGTATTAAGTTTCTATCAATACAGAACCCCACACACACACACACAATGAATGCTGTTCTCCTGCATGGATCATTAATCCATTTAATAATGGAATATTAGTTACGCATTTGGATTTTAATTTTTAAGACCAAGATTTAAACAAGTGGTGTTTGAACATCAGATTATAAGAATTATTCTTAAAACATGCATTTTTACATGAAGAGATAAAGTACCCGGTTCATACACTCGTGAATCAAAGTGTTTCACTGACGAACAACAGTAATCAGATGTTATATAATTTTATACTCGCCTCCTGCTCAAACCTCTCTAGCTTTTCCAGTTGTTCCTCATCAATCACGAAATCATCCACCATTTCTTCTTCATAATTTTCTATAAACTCCTGTGAATCAACAATGGGCTGTACATCGACAGGCTGCTCTTCGGCAGGTAGTTCTGACCTACTGCCAACAACATCGACACAGTTCAGAGAGTCTGAAAAACTACCCCTTTGAGCTCCATTTCTGGAAGTACCAGAATTTATTTCAGTCCTTTCAAAACGATTCCCCATGTCGGTAACACCTTCTCCTGTTACAGACACTACAGAACTGGCCCAAGCCGCCCAACCAACGGAGGACGAGGCTCTACTGCGAGGATCTACGCCATAATTTTGTGCACTTCTCGACGACCCTCCACGGTTGGTTAAAGCATTGGTATTTTCTGTTGGCAATATTGTATCAGATGATAGTTCTAGGGAAGTTGCAAGATTTCTATTATGATCTGTCTGTTGATCATTGGATTGATTGTTTGTCAGATCTTCTCTACCACTTCTTTCTCTTCTATAAAGTATACAACAGGTTGTGACTAAAGACGTACCTAAGACAGATTCATCCACTTAACCAATATAGAAATATGAAACACAAATAATACTTGTATAAAAACCAAAACTCTCAACCAGTAAACCTTACATTGCTAAGGATTACAGACTGATAATGTAGTGTTAAAGACTTGCTTTGTTCTAGTAATTATCTTTTCTTCCAGTTTAATGTTAGTATCATCCTTTAAAGTTTGAAATGATAAAAAGACTTACATTGCTCTAGTAATTATATTTTCTTTACTGTTTTCTTCCAGCATGGATTCCACTTCACCACCCAAAACTTTGACATTGCCTGGTGTTAATAACAAAACTCCAAGTCGACATTCTACTGGGCCCGAGATTAATAACTGTAATGTAAAAGGTTTTGTGATACTAACAATATTCCAAGTTGACATTTCACTGTTGGATATTAGGTTAAAACTAGCCTCTCAACTACATTTCATCTTGAAATTTGCACAAAACTACTTGAAAACTAGTTGCTCTAGTTGTCCCTAATTGAAAGATTATGTAAAAGGTAGCTAATCAAAACTATCAGCTCTTGAGGTACTCTTTACCAACAAAAATTGGGCTTGACCATCACTTTATAATGCTCCCATGCCCGAAAAGGTAAACATGTTCAGTAATTGGATTCAATGTCGCAACTGAGTGCCCTAACCACCAGGCCATGCCTGGCCCCAACTGTGAAATAAATAATGTATTATCACAATAAAAACCTAAATTAGATTAAAAAATAAAAGTAGAATAATACACTAATGTTTCTTCTTTACCTTTGTTCCAGGGGGCAGGTCAACATTGAGACTGGTTATAGGTTTATATTCCATTCCTTGTATGTAATGAACTCCATCCGTTAGGGTTAACATCAGCATTCGATTCGGCTTTGATTCCCACTATCACAGAGTTAAATGTTCACATACTTGTCATAAAAGTTATAAAAAAACAAAAAACGTTATACTGGTAGTCTAATATTTTGATGAAAAATTCAACCAGAGATTGTAAACTTTTAAATACACCTTAAGAACTAAAGAAAAAAACATTTTTATTTAAACTGTCCCTTTGTTCCTAACTTCTCTGCCACAGATTTCTAATTTAATTTACTTTTAGTAACAAATGAGTAATAGAATTTAAAATGAAGCTGGATTCTTTATTAATTCATATAATACAGTATCCTTTGTTTCAGAATCTTGAAGTGATAGACCAGAGAGAGAAGGCAGCTAGCAAACAGCACCCATTTTCATCAAATGGGCTGCTCTTGTTTGAGGAAATAGTGGGTTTTTATTAGCAAAACTCTGAAAACCAAGAATCTTTGAATTCACAATCCGAGCATGCTAATTACTGTCATGCCCAGTATCATAATAAGGTCATAAAAACATAAATAACCTAAGAGCTGTTTATGTAATCTCATTCTAAAGCAATGTGTAAGTGTTGTGTCTTCCCCCTGAAATATTACATCAGTCAGTGTTGTGTCTTCCCCCTGAAATATTACATCAGTCAGTGTTGTGTCTTCCTCCTGAAATATTACATCAGTCAGTGTTGTGTCTTCCCCCTGAAATATTACATCAGTCAGTGTTGTGTCTTCCTCCTGAAATATTACATCATTTAGTGTTGCATCTTCCTCCTGAAATATTACATCATTAAGTGTTGTATCTTCCTCCTGAAATATTACATCAGTCAGTGTAGTCTTCCTCCTGAGACATCTTTCCAGTTTTTGTTTTCTTCATGATATAGTCCAGTGAAAATCCGACAGGATTAAAATGTTTTCAGTACAAAATGAAATATGTAATATAGAGAAAATTCATCTCTCACATGTGGTAAAACAGGTTGTGGGGCAGCAGATACCATGGTGTTATCATTCTCTTTGCCCTGTAACTTCAGAAGCTGGGAGTAGGCTGGTTGGCTCACATCTCTCACACAGTTCATCTGTTAAGGTAAACATACAAAATCAATCTGTATTGTAGGTACATTAAGGAAAACTACACAGACTCTTTTTATGTACTTATATTTCATTACATACATTTCAAAAATTTTGAAAATACTGAAGTTTAAACACAAAACAAAACACTTAATAAAGATAACAAACTTGTAAAGAGAAGCAACCGTGAAGAAGGTACTTTTGGCTCGTTAGTGATTCCTCTGGTAAGCAAGGAGTTGCAAGTTCTCTTAAATCAGCAAATAACCATTGGTCATATACACAGCTCTTAACTCTCTCAGATGAGAAGATTCGTCCCTGAAATCAGAGTTTAAGAAGTACAAAATTAATTAATCCGATGAATTGTAATAAAACATCTTTTCACTTGCGTCAAGTTCATACATTTGTCCTTTTCCTATCCAGTTTTAAACACTCTCACAACTACTTATCCAGTTTTAACAGACTATCACATCTACTTATCCAGTTTTAAACACTCTCCCATCTACTTATCCAGTTTTAAACAGACTATCACAGCTATGTATCCAGTTTTAAACAGACTAGCATAGCTATGTATCCAGTTTTAAACACTATCACAGCTATGTATCCAGTTTTAAACAGACTAGCATAGCTATGTATCCAGTTTTAAACACTATCACAGCTATGTATCCAGTTTTAAACAGACTATCACAGCTATGTATCCAGTTTTAAACACTCTCACAACTACTTATGCAGTTTTAACAGACTATCACAGTTATGTATCCAGTTTTAAACACTATCACAGCTATGTATCCAGTTTTAAACAGACTAGCATAGCTATGTATCCAGTTTTAAACAGACTATCACAGCTATTATCCAGTTTTAACAGACTATCATAGCTATGTATCCAGTTTTAAACAGACTCTCACAACTATATATCCAGTTTTAACAGATTATCGCAGCTATGTATCCAGTTTTAAACAGACTCACAGCTACTTATCCAGTTTTAACAGACTCTCACAACTACTTATCCAGTTTTAACAGACTATCACAGCTATATATCCAGTTTTAAACAGACTCACAGCTACTTATCCAGTTTTAAACAGACTCTCACAACTACTTATCCAGTTTTAACAGACTGTCACAGCTATATATCCAGTTTTAAACAGACTCTCACAACTGCTTATCCAGTTTTAAACAGACTCTCACAACTACTTATCCAGTTTTAACAGACTATCACAGCTACGTATGTCCTCTCTTCCTATAGCACAAAGAAACCAGATGTCTTTATCCTGTGGATCTTCCAGGAATCTTGTAAAAATCATCTCTTACCCTTCTTTTTTGCAAGAGAAAATTAGTTAAGATATCTTAACCTTATCCCCATATCGGATTCTAGTCTAGTAGTCTTCCTTCTGAACCCTTTACTAAGAAGTACAATATCCTTTCTTTAGTATAAGTAATACCAAACTAGTACTAC